CTCACCCTCCCGCGCTTCTGACTGTACCCAGTGCTTGTATAAATAAAAAATAAAAAATATAATAAATAAATAAATAAATCTTTAAAAAAAAAAAAAAGACCATATCAATGAGCTTGAAGATGCAAATATTCAAAAATAGAAATATTCAAAACCGAAAAGGAAAGAGAGATACAAAGGAAAATAAATGAATAAACATTTCAAGAATTATCTGACACCAGTAGGAAAGGAAATATAAGAATCATCCACATCTCCAAGGGAAGGGCACATTCAGATACAGGCAGTCAAAAGAATGACAAGCAACAGATTAAAAGAAACTACAGCAAGACATACAGTAGTTAAAATTCCAAGAGTCCAATACAAAGAAAATATGAGCTGATGAAGGGGAAGAAGCAGATAACCTATAAAGGAACCCTGATTACACTAACATCAGAGTTCTCTGAAGAAACTCTATGGGCAAGAAGAGAATGGAGCGACACATTCAAAATACCAACCACAATGCAAATATCTCCTTCAGATATAAGGGAGAAATAAAGTCCTCAGACAAACAGAACCTTTGAGAGCATCCAAACACTAAAACCCCCTGCAGGAAATAATAAAAGGAGTGTTAGTATTTAAACCAAACAGAGGAATAAACACACGAAATAGAACAAGCAATTAAATAGAATCACAAAACTAAGGACTAAATGGCAGTAGAAAACTTTTTTTTTTTTAAGAAATGCTTTTTTCAAAAAAGATTTATTTATGCATACAAGAGCTGGGGTATAGGCCAGAGGTGTGGCCTGTGAGAGGATTCACCAAAGACAGAGTGGGGAACGGCGGAACAGGCAGATTGACCAAAGTACACTGCTGAGGGGAACAGTGGGCCAGTCAGGAGAGTTCTGCTGCAACATGTGGTTTGTTCCCTGGCCAGCAGGGGATCGAACTCATGCTGCAGAGGCAGCAGACAGCTTCATAGGTTGCGTCTTAACCCCTTGCGCCACCAGGGAGGCCCAGGAAACTTTCTTATAACAATAATCTTTCTAAATATAATGGACTGAACTCATTAATAAAAAGACATAGAATATCAAGTTGAATCAGCAAACAGAATTCAACTTTCTGCTGCCTCCAGGAAACACCTAAATTCTAAGGATAAACACAGGTTGAAAATAAAGGGAAGCTGGAAAAAAATTCAAATGATACCCACATGAAGGCAGGAACAGCCATAATTGTATCAGATAACATAGACTTCCAACATAAGAAGATAATAAGAGGCACGGATGAACACTATATAATGATTAAGGGAACAATAAAACAGGAAGACAAGACTCATCAATATATACTCACCAAACGAAGCAGCATCAAAACACATCATACAATTACTACTAAATCTGAAAATGGACTTTGGAGAAAATACATATGTCGTTGGAGATTTCAATACCCCATTTCACCAATGGACAGATGAATTAGAGAGAAAATAAATATGGGCATAATTCCCTAAACAAAGAACTAGGTTATCTGGATGTACTAGACATTTATAGGGCACTGCTGCTGCCCCCCACACCCTGCCCTCCACACACACAAATGCTGAATACAAATTTTTCTCAAATTCACATGGGTCATTCTCCAGGATTGACCACATATTGGGTCACAAGATAAATATAACAAATTTGTGAACATTAAAATCATATCAACTATCATCTGACCATAAGGTTATCAAAGTAGAAATCAACAACAAAAGGAGTTATTCTAAAACATGATACTGAACAGCACACTACTGAAAGACTAATGGGTTAATGAGGAAAGAGAAGAAATCAAAAAGTACCTTGAGACAAACGATAATGAGGACACAGCCTCCCAACATACATGGGACACAGCAAAAGCAATTGTAAGAGGGATGTATATAGAAATACAGGCCCATGTCAACAACCAAGAAAGAACCTAATCTAACAATCTTTTATCTCAAGGAACATGAAAAGAACAAAAAATCTGAATGTCAGCAAATGGAAAAAAATTAAAAAATCAGAGCAGAAATATGTGAAATGGAAATCAAAAAGGTGGTTCTTAAGGTCATGAAACTAAAAGTAGTTCTTTGAAAAAATGAACAAAAAAGACAAACCTCTAGCTAGGCTCAAAAAAAAAAAAAGGAGAAAAAAATTCAGGTTAATAGGATCAAAAATGAAAGAGGAAAAATTCCAACAGACTATTAGTACAGACATTCAGGGGGACAATCAGAGATTACTATGCACATTTATATGCAAACAAATTCAGCAACCTAGATGAGATGGACAGATTCTTAGATTTATACAATCATCCACAACTGACTAGGAAAGAAATAAAATGCTAAACAAACCAATCACAAGAAGGACACTGAAATAGTAATCAAACTCTCTTGAAATAACGAAAGTCCAGAACCAGATGGCTTCGCAAGTGAATTTTACCAAATTTTCAAAGACGAACTAATTCCTATCAGATACAGACTTTCAAAAAATTGAGGAAGAAGTAATACTTCCATAATATCTCAAAACTATACAGGAAAGAAAACGATAGTCTTATCCATGGTGAATACTGATATAAAATTCAGGTACAAAGTACTAACAAAACTCAATGCATGATACATGAAATGGATTATACATCATGAACAAATGAGATTTATTGCTGGGATGCAAGAATGATGCAACATGTGAACATTAATCAAAGCAATATAGCAAATTAGTGGAATGAAGGACAAAACCCCACAATCATCTCAATTGATGTAGATCAAAAATTTTGATGTTCTTTCATTATGAAAATTCTCAATAAACTGAAAATAGAAGAAATTCCTGAAACATAATAAAAGATATATATATATATATATATATATATATATATAAACCTATCACTAACATCATGGTAAATATCTGAAAAAAATTCCCTTTAAGATTAGAAACAAGACTAAGATGCCTATCTCACCATTTCTATTCAACATAGTATTGGAAATTCTAGCCAAAACAATTAGGTAAGAAAAAGAAATAAAAGTCATCCAAAGGAAGCAGTAACATAAATGAAGAAGTAAAATTATCTTTGTTTGCAGATGACACCAAAAATTTACTGGAAGTAATAAATTAATTTAAACAAGTTGTGGAACACAAAACATAAAGATCATGTGTGTTTCTATATACTACTGATGAACAGTATACAAGGTGAAACACTTGTACATGAAAAACTATAAAACATTACTGAAAGAAATAAAGATAAATATAAAAGACACCTGTGTTTGTGGATTTGAAGACTTAATAATTATTTAAATCTCCTTACTATCCAGAGTGGTATATAGATTCAATGAAAATGCCTACCAAAATCTCAATGAAAAATTTTGTGAAATCAGGGACAAAATTCATATGGAATCAGAAAAAGACCCCAAATAGCCAAAACAATATTGAGAAAGAAAAAGAAAGCTGCAGGTCTCATACTTTCTGATCTCAAGTTACATTATGAAATTACAGTTTCAAAAGACTATTTATTGTACTGGTATTAGGAAAGAAATACAGACCAATAAAATAGAATATACCACCCAGAAATAAACTTTCATAGATATGGTAAAATGATCCTGACAAGGGTGACAAGAATTCAGAATGGGTCAGGAATAGTCTCTTCAACACATGGTGCTGGAAAATTAGATATCCAATGAAAAACAAGGAAATTGAACACTTATCTTACAACATTTGCAAAAAAATAAGTCATAACAGATTAAAGATCTAATATAATGCCTCAAACAATAAAACTCCTAGAAGACAAAACAGTAGGAAATATTCATGGCATTGACCTTGGCAATAATTTCTTGATATTATGCCAATAGCACAGGCAACTAAAACAAAATTAGACAAACAGGACAATATCAAACTTAAAAACTGCACAACAAAGGAAATAATTAACAGATTGAAAGGACAAACTGTATTATGGGAGGAAATACATGATACAAATCTAATTTTAAAATGGGCAGAGAATCTGAATGAACATTTCTCCAAAGAAAATATACAAATGACAAATGAGTATATGAAGATGTCCAACATCATTAATTTACAGGGAAATCAAAACCACATAAAATACCACTTCACATCTGTGAGGGTGACTGTTACCAAAATCAAACAAACAAAATAAACAAAGAATAACAAGGATGTTGAGAGATTGGAAGTTTTGTGCACTGTTGGGAATATAAAGGGGGGATAGCCACTGTGGAAAAGGATATGGAAGTTCCTCCAAAAAATTAAAAATAGAACTACTATTTGATCTAACAATCCCACTTCTGAGACTATATTCAAAAGAATTAAAAATCGATTTTCAAAGAGATATTTGCACAGTCATGTTAACTGAGGCATTATTCACAACATCCAATAAATAGAAGTAACCTAAATGTCTATTAAAGATAAATGAAGATAGAAAATGTGTTATATACATACAGTGGAATATTATTTAGCTTTAAAAAAACGGAAATATCATACACAACAAAAAACTTTGAGGACATTATGCTAAGTGAAATAAGTCACAGAAAGACAAATACTGCATGATTCTACATATATGATTACCTAAAATAATGTAACTCTTAAAAACAAATTAGAACGGTGGTTGTCAGAACCTGGGAGAAGTGAGAAAAGAGGAGTTGTGCAGTGAATACAGTTTCAGTTTTGCAAGATGAAGAAGTTCTCAAGAGCTGTTGCCCAGAAACACGCATATAGTTAACACTACTGTACTTAAAAGTGGCTAGGATGATAAATTTTATGTTATGTGTTTTTCATCACAATTTAAAAAAAAATCTATATGCAGCATTAGTGGTAAGATTGCCATTTTAAGTAGTATTTTTAAAATTATATTTCAAGTCATAAAGATACAGTGTGTATTTTGGATGTATTTAAATATATGTATATATAATCACATTTGCATATCTTTTACAAATTAAATTAAAAACATATATTAATCAACTATACTATCTGGTCCATAAGTACTTAACATGATGTAAATTACAAAAAGGAAAAAAATTTACTTACCTCTTCACAACAGTGTCATTCTCTAAGGTATTAGTTAGGGGTGCGCCTATTGTGTAACCCAAAGCATAGCCAACCGGTACTGAACTTTCCACACAGCCTATAAAATGAATACTGAATATCAAAAATTGATCTATGTCAGCTTTGTCATAAAAATGATTAAAAATCACATCACTGAAATGGATTATTTCTGAAAGCTTCAAGGCATACTTGACTAGTAAGGTTTCTCCAGAGAAACAGACAAAATGGAGGAGGGGCAGAGACAGAAAGAGACAGGGAGTCAATTAAAGGAATGGGTTTACCTAGGTATTTACCCAAAGGACACAGAAACATCAATTCCAAAGAGCACCTGCACCCCTATGTTTATAGCAGCACTGTTTACAATAGCTAAGCTTTGGAAACAGCCCAAATGCCCAAAAATAGATGACTGGATCAAGAAGATGTGGTACATATACAACATGGAATGTTACTCAGCATTCAAAAAAGATAAACACATGCAATTTGCAGCAACATGGATGGCGCTGGAAGGGATCATGCTCAGCGAAATAAGCCTGAAAGAAAAAGAAAAATACCGGATGGTCTCATTCATAGCAGGAATCTAGAAAACTTAAATAAGGGACCAGGAAAATGAATATAAGAAAGTGAAAATCAAAATCAACAAAAAACTATGAACCAGAGACACTTTTTGGGGGTGGGGTGGGAGGGGAGGGATTGGGGTCAAAATGGGGGGGTTGCAATTGTATGGGGAATATAAAAATAAAATCTATTATTTAAAAAAAATAAAAATATAAAGGAATGGGTTTAGGGATTTGTGGGCACAACCAAGGGACAAATTTGTAGGGCAGACAGAGAGGCTGGACATCCAGATAAGAGTATGTATTATACTTTTGGGTACATAATTAAGAAATCCACAGGGCAGACCAGCAGACTGGAAAAACTCAGGGTGGGTTTCTATATTACAGTCTAGAAATAGAATTGCTTCTTTTTTGGGAAACATCAGCTTATTTTTTGAAAGACATCAAGGATCAGACTCACATTAAGGAGGGTAATCTGCTCTTACTCAAAGTCCAATGATTGTAAATGTTAGTCACCTCTAAGAAAATATCACAGAAACATCTAAACTGACTGCCATGATCCAGCCAAGGTGACACATAAAATGAATCACCATGATTATTAACCAATGAATGTATTAGAGAAAATCAAATAATTTACATGTAATTAACTTTATTTAATTTATATATTTCATGTAAATAATGTTTCATGTAAATGAATACTTATATTTTATATAAATATGAATTCAATATACCTTATTTCATTTCATTTGTGGCACCTAAAGCAAGGTGACACTTTAATATAATCAACAGGCCTGTGTACTGCACATTAACTTCAAGGGTGGCAGGAGATGGCAATAAAGTAAGCTTCTCTTTCCTGTGTCTATATGTGTGTTTTAACTGATATTTGGTTGAACCAACAGTAAAACAAACATAGGCATTGCCACCTTCAGCTAGCACCAATAAATCAGTGCAAAACTTGTTTTCCAAAAGCAAAGATAAATATGAATATCATTTATTTTCACTTATTTACAAGAGTCTCCTATGTCTTGTGGAAAAATTATTATTTTGGTACAAAAATGCTGTTTTCTTTGAAGTTCCCTTCACAATAAGTATATGAAAACAAAACTTTATATATTTTTCCAAAAATGATAGTATATATAGATGATCTACCAAAACCAGAAGTTATTGTAATATCAAGAATTACAGATTATTCTGAAATATACCCTAGACTTACTTTTATAAATTACAGTAGTGTAAAGCCTGTAAATAGAGGATATTACACTAGAATCAATTCATCCTCCCACAGAGCTTCCCCCAAAATTAAGTGAGTTGAAGCACAGAGTTTAGTACAATGGTGATTATTTTAGAAACGCGTGAATTTAGTACTAAGGAGACATAAAACATTGTTTCTGTCCCCTTATTGGACACAAGGGCAGCAACTTCCCACCTATATACCTAAAGTTTAAAAATACAGCTACCCAAGCAATTCAATCTAATAATATAAGACATATTTTTCCTACAGAAATCAACTTCAGCCTGTAGTTTGATATGATATCATATAGGTGTATGTGTGCACATATGCATGCATATGTACACACATACATATATATGTGGAGATATATGTTACAGGTGTATGTAGAATATATACACACACATAAAGTGCAATTTTTATTTCTTAAGAAGGGTATTTTTCTGTCTTTTCAGTGATCTTCAAACAAGCTGTCCACAATTCCAAATTTCAAGTAGCTCCTCACAATTAATGTGATTTTGAAGTTAAGCATACCAGATATTAATTATTACAATTTATTTTAAGGGCCAGAAATTAAAAATGTTCTATCATTTTAGATGTGTACAACAAAATATAGAAGCTAAATAAAAATTCAAAATGGGTCCACCATAATAGAGGGAATAATACTTGCCTAAGTAAATACCAGATGAGTGTGTTGTGACACTTCCATCAAGAAAAATTATTCCAGAGATATAAATGGGTATTGCTGCTATTCCCTGCAGAATCTGCCCAAGGATGAAGTAAGTCACATATTTTGATTGAGATGACATTGTGTTTCTCTTGCAAACATAAGGAATCTTTCTTTCTAGGCACATATCTTTTGAAAAAGATCATTATATTTTTGTTAAATAAGTCAAAAGTTAACTACATACCAAACACAAAGTATCATTGATATTTTACCTTTTTTAAAGCATTTCCACCATTGTGTTTGTTTCTTTCCGTTAAATTTTCATTTATATTGAATATAGCAGTTCTGCAATCATCATGTTCTCAGAAAAATGCAATAATAAAAGGAAATATGTAGGAATACTGGAAAAGTTGCATATATTTTGAACCAAATATAAATGTGTATGTATGACTATTTGTATATATGCATTTATGAGTCAGTATGAATATATACATACACACCCATATATATATATATATATATATATATATGAATATATACCACATACACACCCATATACACATATTTTTCTTAAATTTGGCATCTGGTATCCCTAATATTTTTTTCTTAAAGTATTAGTTGTCCTGATAATTATAGGAATTTTTTACTTATGAAATACAAAGAGAGAAATCTTTATTTTGATCATCACTAAACACATACAACTGGCACACACAGGTAAAATGTACTTTTATATAATAATATTTTTATGTTTCATAAAGTGAATATCGTAGTATTTATTTTCTTAGTTTTTTCAGAATAATGCTTTATCCATATAGAAGGATAAAATGAGACAAAAATAAATATGGTCAGAAGCAACTTTTCCTTCAGTGCATTTATTCAAGTGAGAGTTTGCATTTTTTTCATTCAAGCAAGTTATTTATTTTTTATGTATTTATTTTACTTACACCACCATTATCTTATATCCTATCCTCTTGTTCCTTTTCCTTCCGCCTTCCTCTTAACCTCAGATTTCTCAGGATGTCAACATATTTTTGAAATTATTTTACATTATTAAATTATTTGTTATATAAATGTCAAGTTTTTATATTTATTATTCCCATTCATTTTACTATAAATAATTCTCTCAGATTCCCTCCATTATGTTGAAAATGGCTACATTTCATCCTTTCTTATGGCTATATAATACTTATGGTGAGAATATACTCCATCTTTTGAACCAATGGCCCATCAGTGGATTTCTAGGCTGCTTCCAGTTCCTAGCTGCAGTAAATAATGCTGTTGTGAACATGTGGACCATAAGGGCTTTTGTGTTGGTTGACATATACCCAGAGAATTTGCTAGGTTATATAGAATTTCCATTTTTAGATTTTTTTTTTTTTTGCTGTTTTAAACACACACGTTTTATTGCTTGCTGGTTTCTTTATTACAAGTTCTTAAGTTGCTGATTCTTTATGTTTTCTGCTAACTGCCCCTCATAATGAGTTGTTTCCTTATATGGTAGTGTTTTACCAGGATTATTTTGACACACAGCATTGTGAAAATCTAAGTGTATAATGAACTAGTTTGATACATTTTTTTATTACAATATGATCACCATAGTAGGTTTAACTAACACCAGTGTGGTGTCAAATAATTATCATTTCTACTAGTGTTGCCAAAAATGACAGTGTGCTCTCTTAGCAAATTTAGTGTTTATATTTTTGAGGTCCATCATCCCTGTAGTATGTATTAGTATTTCTGACTTATTTATCTACTAGTTGCAAGTATGTATCCTTAAACAATAATTCTTTTTTTTTCCTGCTTCAGGCCCTGATGACTACCATTTTTATTCTCTGCTTTTGTTTTCTTTTTTTTTTTTTTATTTTTAAGGTATATCCAGATTGCTTCCTGTAATGGTTGAACCAGTTTTCATTCCCACCAACAATGTGATAGGATTACTATTTCTTCCCATCCTCTCCAATTCTGTGTTGGTGGTGTTTTTAATATATGCCATTCTCGGGGCATGAGATAGTATCTCATAATGGTTTTAAGTGGTATCTCTTTTATTTGTAGTGACAGTGAAGGCACTACACAAGGAAAAATTATTTTTGTTAGAATTAGTTATTAGGTGGCAATCAAATTCTTAAGTTTTTATTTTTTAATTCACATGGTGATAGAACAATAGTAAGTAAATGTTGAAGTGCATTTGCTATTATTGATATATTGGAAGATTCAAGCAATGCTATCAGATTTCTCTGATTATATCCATTTTCATCAGGATTTAGCAAATACTCTTAAGTATTAGTGTGGAAAACCGGTTCCAATATAGATTGCAAAATAGTACACTAATGGAAATTTTCAGGTGATTCAGTATGCATAGGAAATGATATTTGATTCCATGTTAAATGGAAGCTATCTCTATACTTGTGATTCAGAATTGATGATTTAATGTTATATAGACATATTAATTGTGGCGATATCAGTATTAATGTGATGTTTCCACATTCTGACCTCCTAATTTCTTAGTTGCTAGAACTCCTCTGCTACCATTACTTTTATTCCAATTATTTTAGTTATTCATTGGAAACTTTCAAAAACAATACCTGCAAACCTTTCTTAACTATAATTTCAAGCTTCCTGCGCACAAACCATCTCTGTCTTTCCAACACACACCTGGTAATACAATGCCAACAATCCTAAAGGCCCATCATCCATTTATCCTGCTCCTTTTCACTACCCCAATGTTCTCTCCATGTCCTTACTTCTCTCATTGTCATCTTAACACTTTTAAATCCCTTACTGTATCAGATCATGCAATCCCTTAATAATATTGCAACCCACGTCAAATTAAACTCTGCCTACTCTACATCTACACCTCAATTAAAGCTGAATGTAACTGAAGACAAACACACAACCACGCAATTATCACTTTGAATTAATGATAATTAAACGCATGGTAGTCCTTCAACCTGCTGATAATCAAATATGTTCCTAGTCTAATAATCTAGCTTTCTTTGAGAAAATGTAACTTGTTTGGTTCTCTTCTCCTGAGAATCACAGTCCTGAGATTTCTGCTGTCCAACACCTGAAGACAAATGCTTTCCACCAATAGGATAAATTCAATATCTGGTCACCTGTTCTTTTATTTTTTAAAAAACTCTCTTGTTTGAACTATAATTCAAGAAGCAAGGAGCAGTTAGTACTATAAATTGCTGGTGATAATCCAAGAAATATAACTAATAAGAAGTTTAACTATATTAAATAGCAAAATATATGAGTGGCATAGTGAAAATAATTCCATTGCACCTTTTTTTTTAAGATTTATTTATTTATGCATCCAAGAGCTGGGGTACAGACCAGAGGTGTGGGGGATGAGAGGATTCGACAGAGACAGAGTGGGGAACAGAACAGGCAGATCAACTGAAGTACACTGCTGAGGGGAGCAGCAGGCGAGTCAGGAGAGGTCTGCTGTGCCAGAACACTGCTGTTCTGTGGGTTGCTTCCTGGCCTGCCTGGGATTGAACTTGTGCTGCAGTGGCTGCGGACAGCTTCATAGGTTGCGTCTTAACCTGTTGTGCCACCAGGGAGGCCCCCCATTGCACTCTTTAGAGTACATGGAAACCATGTTAAAGTGGGTTGAGGAAAGAATATGCAATAAAGCCAGGAAACATGTACAATTCTTTTTAAAAAGTTGTCAATGAATATGAGGAGATTGTGCAATGTAAAAAAAAAATAGGACTATGGGACTTGTCTACTATTTTATTTTTTAACTTTAGAATGAAAAAAAGAACATATTTATGTGCTTATGAGCAGGAACCAATAAAGATGGAGAATTTGCATAAGGAAGGAGAAGCTAACCAATGCACAAACGTACAGAATGTTGAGTAAAAGGATCACCCTTCCATTTTAACAAGAAGGAAGTAGTAAAGAATGTCAGCATGTAAACATACAAGAAATTATTGTTTTGATGGTGAGAAGTTAAGGCAATTTCTATTATAGCATATATTTTCCACCCAACACTGAAGGTAAGTGTAAAGTGAGGTGATACAGACTGAATGTTTTTGTCCTCCCCAAATTGGTATTTGAAGAGGAAGCCTTTGAGAAGCAACTAAGTCAAGAAGGTAAAGCCCTCATGAATGAAATTAGTGCCCTTTAAAGAAGAGACACAAGAATTTCCTTCTCTTCCTCCCTCCCTCTTTCCTCCAAGCCTCCTTCTTCTGCTTCCCTCCCTCCCTCCTCTCTCCCTCCCTCCCCATTCCTGCTGTGTGAGGACAAAACCAGGAAGGGTGCTCTTATCAGGAACCATAGTGGCCAGTACCTGGATCTTAGATGCTCAACCTCCAAGGCGGCTGGAAATATTTCTTTTTTAAAAAAAGATTTATTTATGCATACAAGAACTGGGGTGTAGGCCAAAGGTGTGGGGGGATGAGAGAATTCACCAGAGACAGAGTGGGGAGCAGAACAGGCAGATTGTCTAAAATACATTGCTGACGGAAGCAGCAGGTGAGACAGGAGAGGTCTGCTTTGCCACATGGGTTGCTGCCGGGCCTGCCAGGGATCAAACTTGTGCTGCAGTGGCTGGGGAAAGCTTCAGAGTGCTGTATCTTTAACTCCCACACCACCAAAAAGGCTCTAGAAATATTTCTTGTTTAAGCTACCCAGTCTATGATACTTTTATTATAGCAGTCTTAATTAAATAATACATGAAAAAAGTCTAAAAATCTTTGTTGTGAATTATGGAAGGGAGAGTGGACTTAAAAACATATTTTTAAGGGATTGGATCTATTTGAGAGCATAGTTGAGGTCGACAGTAAAAAATTCATTGCAGGACTAGTCAATCTGTCCACTTGTGTGATTTTTCTCTAAAATGCTCATCAGTAACGCAGGTACTGGTAAAAGAAAGAAAGATATATATATATATATATATATATATATATATATATATAAAGTTTTCCAGGCCAGTGACAAGAAATGCCAATAGGAGAGGGAACTTAGGAAAATGACTAGAGTATATTGGAAATAATCTAATATTTATAAAAAGGAACATAAAATAAGCTACAAATGGAAGTAACTACAAGACTTATAAAGGGAAAAAGTAGAATTCTGTAGAATGAAGATACCAATGAAAGGAGGATCTGCTATCTTTCTTGGAGTTGGAAGAATAAGTGAGTATCATCAGAGAGCGGGATAATAGATATTTAGAAGTTTTCATTAATGAAAGTGCAATGCAACCAGTTATGGTGGGTAGTCAATTAAATGTAGAGATCTAGAAACTAAAGATTGGAGTGTGATACCATAACTAGTGGACGAAATTTAGTTTCAACTTCTGAAGGATTAAGTGGAGTATGTTATCTACATATCTGCAGCACAGGGTTGACGATCAACTTGTCATGAGTACAGAAAACTGTAAAGGGGTGGGGGAGACAGAAACACTATGGAAGGTGGAAATAAATGGACTGTCCAAAGAGATTCAGAAAACTCACAAAAGAAGATGAACAGGAGCAACTGGAGAAGATAAACAGAAAGCAGAATAGGTGAGACTTGCAGAAACGAAAGTGCAGAAATTTGAAAAATATATACATATACTGAGATGTGAATATGAAGTAGAAAATGAGTTATATAAGAACTAAATATTTAAACAAAATTAAATATCTGCAAAGAGAGTATATGAAATAACTATTGCAAAGACTATTTCTGCTTTTCCAATACCAAGTAGAGGGTGAAGCAGTTAAATACACGAATAGGCTTTGTTGGATAGATTGCATGTTTCCAATTACAAGCAGAAAATAAAGTATGTAGAATTTACATGTTATAAAGAAGACACAAAGGAAGAGGGCTGCACTATTTCTACTCCCATGAGTCCCAATGAATCCTGATCAAGCAGCATCTTTAATGCCTCGGGCGGTGCTTCTTAACTTTTCACTTTTTCTATTTAGAACAGAATTAAGAGAATAGGAATGAAATATTTTCTATTCCCTTCTTTTCAAAAGTCATCTTCTAGCTTAACCAACTGCTCATTTTAAAATATAAGAAACAATATTACAAATATACTCTAAAAATTAATAAATATTTATCCTACATATTTATATTCTATAAACGTAATATAAAGACATGCATATATTATACAGCTTACATATGTACTATATAGTATTCAAACATGTTTACGTTTAAACTATTGTATTTCATATGAAGTATTTTAATTTATGTTATAAACATACATCATACCTATGCTTCTTAAATACCATAAGTATAAGTACACATTATAATGTGTATAAATGTACACACACACAGAGCCATCCTCATGCCTTCTTTCGTATCTCCCTAAAGTCCAGTTTAAAGTTGTCAAACAAGTAAGAGCACTTCAAAACCTTTATAAGTCTTACACGACAGAAATACCTGATGCAATAGTGTTAGAAATTATGCTCTAAAAACTTCAAATAGGGGCCTCCCCGGTGGTGCAGGGGTTAAAGACATAGCTATCAAGCTATCATCAGCCACTGCAGTACAAGTTGGATCCCCAGCTGGCCAGAGAGCAACCCACATGGCACAGCAGACCTCTTCTGTCTCGCCCGATGCTCCCCTCAGCAGTGTATTTCAGTTAGTCTGCCTGTTCTGCTCCCCACTCTCTCTGGTGAATACTCTCACTCCCTGCACCTCTGGATTGCACCCCAGTTCTTGTATGCATAAATAAATAAATCTTTAAAAAACTTCAAATTGTCTTTATGTAGTGGGAATAGCCCACTACACTAATAAAAAATGAGGGAAAAATAAAATCCAAAACTCACTCATCTTTTTAGATTCAAAGTCTTGAAGGACATCTCCCATTTTGAAATGGTAGGAGTCACTAGAAGAGAGGCAATCTTTACATTTTATGTATGTAAGTTTGTTTATGTTGGTATCTGCATTTGTGTATGAGTGCAGTGGTCAAAATAAAGGTATTAATTAAAGCATTCAGAAAGACATAAGGTATCACCAAAGTTCTCAAGATATTAATTATATGAAAATTGAAAGAAATTTTCATGAAATAATTATACTAAATATACTTCCTTTTTCCTATGCCAGTCTCACACATAGACGTATTTATGATCATGAGAAGATTACAGAATGGTGGCATCTATGTTACAGGGAGCTACAATTAATTAACTTAATAAACTGAGTCATATAAATAGATATAGGTCGATAGATGTATATGGAATCACAGTCCATTGTAAGTTCCTATAGTCAATAGTTTAAATGAATAATGATTTGAGGTATGACAGTATCTTATAAAAAATCTTACCGGCATATTTTACATCCTTTTGATAAATTTCTCCACTGAAGTATGGGAAGGCAAATAAAAGTGATCCAAATCCTACTAAAAAGGAGGCAAGTGCAAGCAATCTTGGTACATTTCTTCTCTTGCCATAGAATAATAGGAGAAGCACTGACAGGCAAGATGATACATCGTAAGTCTCTGTCAACAAAAAATGCTTATAGTTGCTCACATGATTTGCCTGATAAAAAAGGTCAGTGCTCAGATCTATAAAACTAAACACAATACCTAGAATGTAAAAAGAAAAAAAGAAAGGAGTAATATGCATTTTAAGAGATAAAATAGATTACCATTTTAATTTTTTTAAATTTTAATTCACGTTGATTTAAGTTTATTTTATACTATTCTGAATATTTAAGATATGTAAGCATATAAGGATGTCTTTTCTAAAATATTAATTGGATTTAACCTGTGTGAAATACTTTCTATTGAATTTTACAGTTATTTTTAAAGCTGTATGTGTCATTTACTGAAAATATTGATATTTTAATCATCTCAATATTGATCTTTATTTTAATGAATCATATTTCAACTATAAAGGCAAAATAAATAAATCTAATGACTACTTTATCTGCCTACCATCCAGAACAGAAACTAAAACATTGTCAAAATAATTGAAGGCAACATAGACTCAAACACATTCTTCTCTTTCTCTCCATAACCCACATTTTATGTTTGAAGCTTACCATTTTTGAATTTTTTAAACACTTTTTTGACAATACATTCATCCTCGAACAATATAGAATTTGTTTGTCATGCTCTTGAACACTAAATAAATGGAATCATATGTGTGCATTTCTGTCACTCAGCATTTAGCTAGGAAAACAATAATCACACTACATGCTAGAAACAAAATCGTTTAGGGGTTGGCTACTAAAGATAACACATTTGTTGGAGTGAAAAGGGAAAAGAGTTACTAATCAAAATTCATAATATTTCTGTGGTCAAAGGTGCTGGGGCATAGGCTGTTGCTGCTATTACTGTTGGCACTGCCATCACTAATTCTTTGATAAGAAGCCAGGATCCACCTCCTACTAAAGTTTGGAGAGCTAGCTCAGAGCCACCTGCTGCTTCTGCTGCCCTTGCAGTTTCCAAAGCTAGAGTCCATGAGCTTATTGTTGCTGAATCATCCACTGTTGCTCATGGAGCTTCATCGACCACTGAGAGTAATTCCAGAGCCTTTATTCACCCAGCATTGTCACACCTGCCAAAAATATAGCTGGAAAGGGTCGAGGGAAGAAGATGCTTCCCTCTCTCTCCTTTTCCCTCCTTTTCAACTCTATTGCCACAGCTTCTCATTGACAGTGCTTAGTGGAAACCAGCTGGCAAGAAAGTCTGGAAAATGTAGGTTACGGCTGGCAGACCCCTTCCAAATAGGCATAATCCAGAAGTAGAACCATGGAATTTATGATCAATAGAGAAATCATTGGCAGAGTTCATCCTGTACATGACCCGGGATACATTTTTATCGTTCTTCCCATATATAAATAGCCTTACCAAATTAATAGCAACATCATCATGCTTCGGTCTATTTTGCAATTATCATTCTTAAAAACAAATGTTCTCACCTCCCCAAAAGAGACAGACATAATCCATTCGGTCACCATATCCATTTCAAGGTCATGCTTATCCTTCTAGTTCAATGACAATATGAATTTTCTTTTACATAAAAACTTAAATTGCAAAGGTGTAAGTAGTTTATAAAATATAGTTAATCAAACATATCACAGAACTAACTGAATTTTTGAGGAATTGTGTTGCAAAAGGAACCCTATGCCTGTATTAGAGTCAAGCAGTTTTACAAACCAAGGCCAGAAGGAAAAAAGATATAAAATCTTCCCTGAATCCAAGAGGACAAGTTTCTTTAATTCTCATTTTTGATGGGGTGAAGAAGGATAATGGTCAAAGTAAGAAATGTTCTGTTAGTAACTACACATCTCTGAAGTTGAGGAATTAATTCCCCTCTAATTCAGTAATATTTTGTAATCTAGACATGAATTTGCAAATTTCTCTCAGTTAATACTCTTTTGTCAAATAGTAAAGGAAAGATAAAGAGAAAATTTAAAAATTGGAATATTTACACACACATAAATATATATATATGTATGTATGTTTGTGTGTGCACATAAACAAGAGAAAAAAGCAGAGCTCCTAAAGTTTTTATTTCTCTATATGGTTATGAGACCATCGTTGATATTTATAACTTCCTTCTTCTACTACTCACCCCTCTTCTCTTGATCTCAGATAACATATATAAGTTGCTGCCTCAGAGTGTATCTCACTCTATGGGACAACACACAAGTTTTTTTGTTCTGTTTTGTTTTGTATTGATTGCCTAGCTAGAACTTTATCTAAGTCTTCACTAGGGCATTATAATTGTCTAAGGTCAAGATTTTCTGGTTATTGAGATGGTAGTAAGATCAATGATCTCCATGAACATGAACTTCTTGATGTATTTCTCTTGCTCTGAAATGAGTTCCTTCACTATAAGCAATGAATGAATAAATAGGTGATTTTGATGTTGTTCATTAAAGTCATTCTGGTGATGAAAGAAGAACCCATATATATATATATATAAAGTAAATATCTATTTCAGTGAAGAGAAATTGTTGCCCAATCCATTGTGGAAGCAGATAATGTAATCAACTTGCCTCCAGTTTGCTGCTTGGTTTAACTAAGGAATAGAGTAATTTCCTAGATTATGTTGACTTTTCCTGGTGGCAAATCAAGCAGTCAGTAGGGCAACAGCCAAATCAACTGTGGTGAAGATAAATCCATCTATTCATTTCTTGTATTATCCTCATCTTTGATTCAATTCCCACTATAAAAATGAACCCATTAAACAAGATATTTGATGTCTGGGAAAAGATGCTAGCTAATATTCACAGGATGCTTATCTATTTACCCAATTATTAAGAGCTTCCTCTGCAATGAGTTTCTTTTAGTGAATATATTTATCTGGGATATTTCTGTCCATTTAGAGAGTCAGAACCCTTATCCATCCATCCCAGTCATCAGATGGTCAAATCATTCAGCAAAGGCAGCATGGCATCTAGGCAATAGGGACAGTCAGATGCACTACTTTTTGTTCTGCCCCCAGGAGATTTGTCTTTCCTCTATTTTGCAGTGCCTCTGCTGAGTTGGGCTTTAATAAAACCATGGAATAGTTTTATTAAATAGTTTTCATTTTCAAAATACTGCAGTTGTACCAAGAATTATGTTTCTTTCTTGGTAGTGGGTGGTAGAAATGAAGAAACTTTCCTTCATTTTGGAAAGCATAACACTGCACACACCCAACCACTTGATACCTATAAGCATCATGGAAGTGGCAGGCAGATTTGGGGTGTTTAAGGTATTATTTCTCAGGACAAACTTTATAGTGAGTTCGGAAATTCTGGGATAGGATTCTAGTTATGAATCTGGTAGCAAAAAAAAGTGGCTATGGAGTAGGTCATGAGTGCAAATAGAATTCTTTTAATTCAAGAGATGTAAATACAGTTTCTTCAAGCAAGGTGCTGCTTTTTCTTCAGCTGTAGGAGGAATAGTTACTTCTACTATGAACAGAGGATCATGATTTTGGGGTTTATGTTTTTCACATTCATTAGAACCAAGATGTAAAATTCCCTGTGTAGTTGTTCCCCAGTACTTTCTATGGACATTATGTTTAATATTGTGATATCTGGCAAAGAAAATGCACCCAAGTAAATTTTCACAGAATAGGCAAAAAAGACAAGTTTGGAGTTGATAGGCAATAAACATGTACTGATATTGACATAGAGAGACAATAAATTGACAAATTGATTCAGAAAGAGTTTGTATAGGCACCTAATCCCACATAAGCTCTTTCAGAAAGGAAAGAAAAGACCAATTAAATTAATGAAGCCAGTATTACCTGATACTAAAGGCAGACAAAAACCCACATAAAAAATTCTTAACAAATTTTTGGAAAGGTTAATCCAGCAATATAGAAAAATGATAACAAACCAGAATGAGGGCTTATCCCAGGAATGTAAGGTTGATTATCCCCCCAAAGTAAATGCAATCTATAATATTATGCATATAAAATATATATGAAGTATCTATAATTTATAGAATAAAGAAGAAAAATATATAATGGTCTCCATAGACCATTATAGGGAGAAAAAAACACTTGATAAAATTCAGCACCAATTTTTTTTTTTAAATTTATACAAGCACTGGGTACAGTCAGAAGTGCGGAAGGGTGAGAGAATTCACCAGAATCAGAGCGGGGACCAGAACAGACAGACTGATGAAATACACTGCTGAGGGGAGCAGTGGGCAGCAGGAGAGGTCTGCGCACCATGTGGGGCCCTCACCTAGTGGCCCGGGATCAAACTAGCGCTGCAGAGACTGCGGGCAGCTTCGCAAGCCAGAGCTCAACCACTGTGCCACCGGGGAGGCCCTACCACCAATTTCTGATAAAAATTTTCAAACAACTAAGACTAATTGGGAACATCCACAAAGTGATAAAGGACAAGTACAATCACTCTCAGTTAACATTTAATTGTGAAAGGCTGTAAGTGATTTCTACCTAAAATCAGCAAAAAATAAATGAATGCATTGTTTTATAACTTGTGTTCAACACTGTACTGGAGGTACTACCTAGTACAACAAAGTAAGGAAAATAAATTTTAAAAATACAGATTAGGAAGAAAGAAGTAAAACTATTGTGTTTCACAGTTGACATAATCATGTATGTAAAAAGTCCTAAGGAATCTGCCAAAAGTATCATTCTATAAATGATAAGAGTTAAATTTAGCAAAGTTTTAGAACAGAAAACTTAAATAAGAGATATACAGTGAAGCATTGGAATACACAGTATTATTAAGATCTCAATTTCTACAAAATAAATATCACAATTAAAATTCTAGTAAAGGGCCTCCCCTTGTGGCGCAGCGGTTGAGAACTGGGCTGCGAAGCTCTGCAGCTCCAGTTTGATCCCCGGCCACCGGCAAGGGTCCCACATGGCACGCAGACCTATCCTGCCCCCGGCTGATCCCTTCAGCAGTGTATTTCATCAGTCTGCCTGTTCTGCTCCCTTCTCTGGCTCTGGTGAATTCTCTCACCTTCCCACGCTTCTGACTGTACCCAGTGCTTGCATAAATAAATAAATCTTTAAAAAAAATAAAATTCTAGTAAGGTTTTAATATAACCAATATGTTGATTCTAAAATTATTATGGAAAAGAATGTCTAGAATTAGCCAAAATAAATTTATACCCTTTCCATATGTTCGAAATTATGTCAAAATTGTTGAAAATGTAGCAATAAATAATAAATAGATCACTTAAAGAAATATATCATTTTTTATGAATGGATGACTGAATATTATACTCAAATGATCTAATAATTTGTATGAAGTCAGATTATGAAACTAATACCAAACACTGTCAACCACTTGCTCAAAAGTCTTCTGTGACTTCCCATTATCCACCTAATAAGGAGATTATATTAAGTAAGATGATGCCTGTAAAACCCCTTCCTTACCTCTCAATATATTAGTGGGAAGTAAAAATACTTTAGTATCCTTTCAAAATTGTCACTCTGTTGTTTAAAGACATGTGATCACAATGTGACCACAATTTGTCATTCCCTTCTTTCAAAAAATTCATTTATACATTCAAAACATATTTATTGAATATCTTTTCTGCTTCAGTTATATACTAATTCCTGGAAGACACACTCAATAAAATCAACATAATTACCCTTTTTAGTGCTTAGGTACTTAGGTGAAACCGTTACCCAGTCACAAGTGTCACTTCCATTCAAAACAAGGTTTTCCCGTATCTGAGTGTTTATTATAGCACTCACTCTTTCATCCATTTTTTCACTACATCATTCAATAAATACTCTTTAACTACATGCATGGCTGTTAGATCTGTCCCTACTTATCAAAGTATGTATGCTTCTTCCTCAAGAAATTCTTTGGTGATCTCAAAGTAAACTTATGTTGATGTTTTTCTCTCATATGTTTCTTATCTAGTCTTTATTGCACTTATTTAGACATTGAATTTTAGAATAAAATGAGATCATATTTGGCAAACTCTAAAATCATTAATGTAAACAGATTAGTAAAGAATCTAGGAGTGATGGGAGTGGTGGACTCTTATCAACTAGAGATGTGTGGGCAATGACAGACTCCTTTGAGTTTGGGTTTTCTGATAAAGATTATTTCAAGTCACATATCACCTTTACTCTCCATACAGGAGGAAACAAGATTCAGACAGAAAGTGGTTTGGTCCGTATGTCTCAAAATTGTGGTCAGAACCAGAAAAATTTGATGGTCACAGATACTGTTTTCAACTTTAATTTCCCAAATGATTCAACACTGAACTTCTCAGAATTGAACATTAAGCAACAGACCCTCCTTCCAGTTGGTTCTCTGGAGATTAGGCCCTTATTATCCAAACTGTGAGGGGGGAACTGTGTTAGTCAGGTGCCTGATGAGGTGAAGCAATGACGAAGCCCAACCCAAGGTGGTGACCCAGTTAACCTGTTTTGATTCCAGACATATCTTAAGACCATGCCAGAGCTGGCTAAAGCTAGCCCACTCTACACTAGGCCCTGCACACATACCATTTGTCTCTCACCGGCCTCCCTACCTCACCAAATTCAGCTGCCGCCCGCATCGCTGTCCCCCAGGCTCACCTTGAGAGATGACCAAGAGGCAGTAGAAAACTAGGAAGCAGTGGACATTATTAAAGCGCTGCCAGCTGGGAATAATTATAGAGCCCAATCCGCAAGGCGGATCCAAATTTTCTTGTCGTTTTTTTGGTTTCCTGGTAGAGGCCCCTTTTTTTCTTAAATTGGAGAACCTGATTAGACTGTTTGCAACCGTCATCCCATATGAAGAGCTTTTCGTGTCCACTTTCTCCAAGGCCCCGTTGTCCTGAGAAGACTGGACCTGCGCCTCTTGAGGCTCCACCTCCACTAGGTCTCCCTCCATGGCTGGAGTGTGACTCACGCTGGACCGTGCTGAGTAGATGGTAACACCTGATGCCTTGGACGCGGTGCCATCCTTTCTACGCGCTTGAACGGAAAGGTCGGCCATGCTGACTTCTGGGAACCGGTGACCCCCAGGGTAAATGCTGCCTAACCGGTGTCTGCAGCCCTCCAGAGGGAAGGAGGCAAACGTCTTGGAAGGGAGGTTGACAGTTGCCTTGTGAGAACTTCCAGGACTGTTTCCTTCTCTGCTTTCACGTGGGGAAGAGGTAAGGGTTGGGTGGGGGAGGGGTAAACTTATAAACATAGATTAAGATAACCGCTAACACCTACGGGAGCACCAGAGTTAACTCTAGTGATAGTCAAGGATGTTAGCATTTATTTAACAATTTCTTTTCTTTTTTTTTTTTAATATGCTTAACTATTTTATTTATTTATTTATTTATTTATACAAGCACTGGGTACAGTCAGAAGCACGGGAGGGTGAGAGAATTCACCAGAGCCAGAGCGGGGAGCAGAGCAGGCAGAAGGACCTAAGTACACTGCTGAGGGGAGCAGCGGGCGGCAGGAGAGGTCTGCGCACCACGTGGGACCCTCCTCCGGTGGCCGGGGAGTAGCTGGGGATCGAACCGGCGCTGCAGAGGCTTCGGGCAGCTTCGCAACCCAGCGCTCAACCGCTGCGCCACCGGGGAGGTCCTATTTAACAATTTCTAATTAGGAAACAGGAGTGTGCAATGATGGGACAGTGGAATTCTCTCCCAATTGCCGCAGGCTTACTTTCATGTAGTATTTATTAAATGGGGTGATCTCACCAAAAATATGGTTGAAGGACCAGGAGAAATCGGAAGACTTGAAAATACACTTCTACCTCAATCGGAAGCTAGCAAAGATCATAAAACAATATACCAATGAATGCTTATAAAACTAAGTGAAGTGTTTTGCACATAAAAATTATTATCTCAAAGACTCTATATGAAACCAAGAATCAAAGATTTGCTATTTTCCTCCCTAAATAAGGAAATAGAACCTACAGTGTAATTTACTTTCCCAGGTACAAAATCTTACTGAAAAAAAAGTATATAGGAGAATAAAAGCAGGATATAAAACATGTATGTTTTACTTGAAAATACAACTTTTTTTTAAAAGATTCATTTATACAAGAACCGGGGTACAGTCCAGATGCGTGGGAGGGTGAGAGGATTCACCAGAGACAGTGGGGAACAGAACAGGCAGACTGACTTAAATACACTGCTGAGGGGAGCAGCGGGCGAGACAGGAGAGGTCTGCCATGCCATGTGGGACCCTCACCCGCCAGCAGGGATGGAACCGGTGCTGCAGAGGCTGCAGACAGCTTCACAGCACTGAGCTCAACTACCTGCGCCACCAGGGGAGTCCCAATACAACTTCTTAATTGTTGTTGTTTTGTTTTTCTTTAGCAGAAATAAAAATTATTCAGGCCTAACATCTTTGGAAGATGCCATTTAAGTGAAATGAAACTATCTTCCCTCCCATATATTAAACATTGTTTTACCAAAAATAATCCAGCTCTTCAAAAAGTTTTGAGTTGCTAGAAAGTGTTGAGTGCTAGAGAAATATAGCTGAGAAGGACTTGGGAGGAGGGTATCACCCACCCCACAACAACCTGAGTTTACCTCAACAGCTATATGCCTATCAGTGGGTGGAAATGTTATTTTATCTATACTGAAGAGACCTAGTTTGTCCAAAACACAGTCACTATGCAAATAAGATAAATGTCCTCATTTTCTCCTGATGAGTTCATCATATTCAACTAACATGCTTGCTGACATTGCTTCATGAAATTAGGAAAGGATATTCCTAGGAGACAGGAAATCCTGTTAGTGCTTTGGTACCAGAATGAGCTAGTTCATGCCCCTACAGTCCCAATGTTCAATTCCTAACCATTTTTGCACATAAAGCAAAAGCAATTTCATCTCTAGGATTGAGGCAGGAAACTCTCCTGCCCCCTAATCCCTGGTAAAGGTTAGTTATTACAGGGAGAGAGATAAAACAGGAGAGAAGTTCAGGGAACCATCCTGTCCTGTGGTCCACCCAAAGTTTAGCTATCACCAGCGGGAATGATGGAATTAAAAACACCTGCCGAAGAAGAGCTAAAAAGAAACTTCTCTGAAGAGGAAATGCAAATGGCCAACAGACATACGAAAAAATGTTCAACATCACTTGTAATCAGGGAAATGCAAATCAAAACTACCATGAGATACCATCTCACACCAGTGAGAATGGCACATATTAAAAAAACTAGCAACAACAAATGTTGGCGAGGGTGTGGAGAAAAAGGAACTCTTCTGCACTGTTGGTGGGAGTGCAAACTGGTCCAACCACTATGGAGAGCTGTGTGGAGATTTCTGGACCTACTAAACATAGAGCTTCCATATGATCCAGCAATTCCACTCCTAGGTATTTACCCAAAGGACACAGAAACATCAATTCCAAAGAGCACCTGCACCCCTATGTTTATAGCAGCACTGTTTACAATAGCTAAGCTTTGGAAACAACCCAAATGCCCAAAAGTAGATGACTGGATCAAGAAGATGTGGTACATATATACCATGGAATATTACTCAGCATTCAAAAAAGATAAACACATGCAATTTGCAGCAACATGGATGGCGCTGGAAGGGATCATGCTCAGCGAAATAAGCCAAAAAGAAAAAGAAAAATACCGGATGGTCTCACTCATAGCAGGAATCTAGAAAACTTAAATAAGGGACCAGGAAAATGAATATAAGAAAGTGAAAATCAAAATCAACAAAAAACTATGAACCAGAGACACTTTTTGGGGGGTGGGGGGCGGGAGGGGAAGGATTGGGGTCAGAATGGGGCGTTTGCAATTGTATGGGGGAATATAAAAATAAAATTTAAGATTAAAAAAAAATAAAAATAAAAAAAAAAAAACACCTGCCGAAGGGGACGACAAGCAATATCATTCCTTACCAAAAACTGTTACCAAAAAAGGGACAAACTCTGACCTCTGAGACTCAGGTACTCAAAGCCTAAAGCAGACTCATTAGCATTCTATCAGTGTAGCTGGGTCTCTCTCCTGCAGTGTACGCATACTGGAATACTAAAAGCTGAGGGTGGAATAGTAGCACTGGTCAAAAATAATAATTCAAGAGCTCCAGGTTTCTTATGAAGAACAAGAAAGCTTCAGTTCCCACTGGAAGACTTTTAAGCTTGTAATAAGTACAGTAAAACAAAACCCAAATACAACTCCATTTTTGTCAACATTGGCAAACTTATACTAGGAGACAAAGAAAAATGAACCAACATTTCTAAGTGTAGATACACCAGTCTCCAATATTTTTTTTTTAAGATTTATTTATTTATCCAAGCACTGGGTATAGTCAGAAGCGTGGAAGGGTGAAAGGATTCACCAGAGCCAGAGCGAAGAGCAGAAAAGGCAAACTAATGAAATGCACTGCTGGGGGGAGCAGTGGGCGACAGGAGAGGTCTGCATGCCATAGGGGACCCTCACCCAGTGGACGGGGATCGAACCAGTGCTGCAGAGGCTGCAGGCAGCTTTGCAACCCAGCGCTCAACCGCTGTGCCACTGGGGAGGCCTCTATTTTTTTAAAGAGTTATTTATTTTTATACAAGTGCTGGGGTACAGGACAGAGGCGTGGGAGTGTGAGAGGATTCACCAGAGCCAGAGCAGGTAGCAGAACAGGCAGACGACTGAAATATACTAATGAGGGGAGCAGAGGGAGAGAAAGGAGAGGTCTGCCATGCCATGTGGGAATCTCCCTAGCTGGCCGGGAATCGAACCCGTGCTGCTGAGGCTGTGGACAGGGGAGGCCTCTCCAATATTATTTTTTATATAATGTTCCAGATATTAATATTACTATCTGGAAATTAGCATTAAATGATTTACTATATATATAATTGAGGCATCAAGGAGAGACAATGAGGTAGAAGAATTATTTGAATATGTAATGGTCACAAATTTTATAAAACAAATGAAGATGTAGAACGACATATACAAGAACCTTGGGAAACAGCAAACAAAATAAGTACACAGGAAAACACACCTAACCATATAAAGTCAAACTGTGAAAAATCAAACCTAATTAGGAAAGTTTGTTGAAATCATAGAAAAGAAAAACATAATTTAAAGAGAAACAGATTTTTTAAAATTATACTATCAGTAACTATGCAGGCTAGAATATGATGAAACTATATTTTTAAAATATGGAAGAAAAAGCCTATCAAGGATATTTTATCCAGCAAAATATCCTTCAAAACTGAAAAAATCAACAGAATATTAGCATACCAATCCAACAATATATAAAAATAATTATATTTCATGACAAAGTGGGCTTTATCCCAGGAATAGAACATTTAAACATTGGTTAATTACATACATAAAAGACAAAATCCACATGATTGTTTTAATAAATGCCGGAAAAGTATTTGGAAATATCACAGCTGATGAAAAAAAAACACAACAAAATTAAGAATAGAGGGAACATCTTCAAACTGATAAATGTATCTGTCGAAAACTTCTAGGACATAATTTTATATTTTTTAAATGGTTATTGACATTCTTCAAAGAAATAGAACTATTATTGATGAAATACATATGGAATCACCAAAAACCCCAAATAGCCAAAACCTCCTGACAAAAAAAAATAAAGGAAGGGAATGGAAGCATCATCCTCCCAGACTTCAAACTCTACTACAAAGCCATAATCATCAAAACTGCATGGTATTGGAACAAGAACAGACACATGGACCAAAGGAACCAAATAGAAAATCCAGAAATAAACCCACAGATTTATGGTCAACTAATATTTGACAAAGGAGCAAAGAATATGCACTGGAGCAAAGAAAGTTTGTTCAATAAATGGTGCTGGGAAAACTGGGTCGCTAAATGCAAAAGAATGAAGCTTGACTACTACCTCACACCATGCACAAAAACCAACTCAAAATGGATTAAAGAACTAGACATAAGACCCGAAACCATAAAATACATAGAAGAAAATATAGGCGAAACACTACATGACATGCACCTCATAGACATCTTCACAGACACATGACCCAAAGCAGTGATTGTGAAGGCAAAAATAAACAGCTAGGACTACATCAAATTAAAGAGCTTCTGCACAGCAAAAGAGAAAATAATCAAAACAAAGAGAAACCCCACCGATTGGGAGAACATTTTTGCACACAACACTAATGATAAAGGACTGATCACAGAAATCTAAAAAGAACTGATGAGACTCAACAACA